ACTGAATGTGTTTTTAATAGTCTCTTAATGTGATTGAGCAACTGGAAATAAAGAGAGCCAGCATCTATTGACCAACTAGTTCTCGGCAGACAGTCAGCAACTGCTGCAGTCCTTTGGCCATGGTTTCTGCATTAGACAGTTGATCATTCTTGAGATTAGGCTGGCCTGGTGGTATTCGGGATTGATTTAGTAAATGATCTCCTTTCAAATTCTTCTGCCCCTGGTTAATTGGTTTTGGTGATGGGAACTGCCTGAACATTGTCATTATGTAGGCAATAAGGAAGTGCTTATTCTGTTGTGGTAGGTGCTTGTTGGAACTGTGGGAGAACACAGCAGTAACTTGTGGGCACATGGAAAAATTGTCCAGTAGTTTAGAGCGCAGAACTGCGAGTTGGGACTTTGGGTTTCTGTTCCTGGCTCTGCCGCTGGCTTGCTTGTGTAACGTTTGGCAAGTCTCGTAAATCTTTCTGTACCTCATCGTCCACACCAATAAAACAGGACAATGTGTAACTGCTGGTTTGGGGAGTTATGAGGTTTTGTAATATTTGTAGAGAACTTTGAGATCCTTGGATGTGAGTGCGGTAGAAGTGTTTATAGAAGCTGTGTGGAGAGAAAAAAAGGCTACCCGCTTATTGGCTGGGGTAAGTACCCCCTTTTTGGGGTGCAGTAGGGTTTGGTTGGTAGCTTTTTTGTTGTTGTTTGGATTAATATCCATAGCTACAGATGAGCTCTTAAATACTGAATAAACCTTATGGTGGATGTCCCAAGGAAAAAAAAACCCTTCTCAATTAAAACTAAACAAAAAATGAGATATACAGGAGTGGCTTTGTCCTAACTGCTGCTTTGAGTGTATAGTGCACAAAATATTTATAATTTAAAAAAAATACATAGTATAAAGATGAATATCACTGGAAAAGAGAGCTCTCAAGGAACACTGTCAATCTAAAATGCAATCCGTTTTTTTAAAAAGTTAGATAATTTCACAGTTATATCTGCCACTAAATCCCTCTGCTGAGGTTTCTGGCTTTAGGACATTTAAAGGTTGTTATTTTTCTTTCCCTCTGTTGCAGCCTGGGAAACCCACAGGTAACGGGAAATTAACTAAACACAACATGCTTTTTACTTTTCTGTTTGTTTATCTCATGTATTTAACAACACTGTCTCTAGTCCGTTTCCCCTGTTAGCATGAGTTCAAAGTCATGTTCCCCTTTAAAGGTGGATGTATCCTTACCAAATGATTTCTCTACTTCTTAAACTTGAAAAATCCGTTTTCTGTTTATAAATCCCTGAATGAATGATTTCTCCCACTGGTTTCTATTAGCCTCAACCCCAAAGGCAGTGGGAAAGTTTCACAATTGTAACTAGTTTAATAGATCTGTTTTATGTCTAAACACAATTGCTTTTTAGTTCTACGTCATGCATTTCCTTGATTACGCATTGCACAGCAGTGCAGCTACCAAAATAGAATAATGATTTTAAGGAAATGGACAGGAAATATTTTTAAAACGTCAGGCAATTCCTTTCTCATCAGGGGGTATTGTAAAACGTGTCCTTGATGGAGAAAATTGCCTTATTGTCAAAGCCTCAGCCGGTTGCACAATGAGTCCAGAAGAGCATGGTGTTGTTGCAGGGCTGTCTGTAATTACACAAATTCTATCCTCCATCCTTCTGACCTTGTTGCCAACTCACTGTCACTATTGTCTCATGCAGCTTGCGAGACTTGGTATTTTTCTTAAAGCTCCAGCCCTTGGGGTTCTGCACATGTGTGAGAATCTCATCTTTCTTTCTTCAACAAGGGAAAGATTTTAGCCCTTTTTGGTTACAGTGAGAACCACAAAAACATGACCAAATACACCCTAAAGGCTAATAAAGAGCCCCACGCTTATTATGTTAAAAAACCCTTGTGATTTTTTTTATTTTTTTTTGGCAGAGCCTGATTCATGATTTTTGAACTCCCCTCCCCACCCTGAGTAGTGTGTTCTTTCAGGTAATGGCCATGTCGTGTATCTTTTTAAATGAGAATTGTTTGCAGCAATGGGCCTAGCACTCCAACAGGAAATCCAGCTTACCAGGCGCATTGGGCCCTGTGTGTCTCTTCTCTGCTATCCCCACCTGAGCTGTGTGTTTGTCTTTTAAACTTACTTTAGTGTCTTTCTGAGGCCTGTAGTCCGTGAGCAGTGGAAAGCAGAGGAACGTGGAGGAGCCAGATGGAGGTGGAAGTGGGAAGAGGCATAGGGCAAAAAGAATGTGTGGTGAGAAGAGATATCAGATCGAGGGGGAGGAAGGCAGTATTGCCAGCCCTCAGTGTTTAAAAAGCATGAGTCAGTACCCCCAATATTGTGAGATTGGCTTAACAAATCATGGGTTTTGAAACCAAAACAAAAAACATGGGGTTCTTTTTATTTGACTTTTGGCTTTTGAGCCTGTCTCTGCGCAGCTGGGGGGTTGATTCTCAGCCCAGGTACTCAGACTTACAGTAGCTTAGCTTGACCTAGCGCACTGAAAATACCAGTGTGGACGTTGTGTCCTGGGCAGCGGCTCAGGCTAGCCATCTGAGTCCAAGCCTGCCCAACCCCCTACGTCCAAGCTTGGGTGGCTAGCCCAAGCTGCTACTCAGTCTGTAGCATCGACACTGCTATTTTAGCGCACTAGCTCAAGCTAAGCTAGTGTGACTGTCATAGAATCATAGAAAATTAGGGTTGGAAGAGACTTCAGGAGGTCATCTAGTCCAATCCCCTGCTCAAAGCAGGACCAACACCAACTAAATCATCCCAGCCAAGGCTTTGTCAAGCCGGGCCTTAAAAACCTCTAAGGATGGAGATTCCACCACCTGTTGACATGTGTTGGGAATCACACCTCCCAGGTGCAGTGCAGATGTACCCAAGGGCACACTTAGGTCACGTTGTCAAGCTTTCCTCTGCAGCCGTGTGGGTTAAACCCTATTCTAAAAAAAAGCTGAGGGTTTTTTTTATGTAAGCAGAGGATTCCAGGAATTTGGGGTTAAATAAAAATGCCAAGTGTCTTGAGACTTGTTTTACTGTGAGTGTCAGCAACACGGAACAAGAAAAGACATTGACAGGACAAAAAGGGGGAGCAGTGGGTCTTAAAAGGCAACAAGCATGCAGAGATTTCAGGAGGTCAGCTCACTGGAGCAGGAACTATACTTCCCTGCATGTCTGTACAGTGCTGAGCATATTTTGGATATAGATCTCAATTTTGTTCAAAAAATTAGATGGACCAGGAGGGGTGGGCAAGAAGAAACAACAAGGAATCTGGGGTGGGGCTGCTGCTTTTAAAAAAGCTTTTGGTTTTGATTTTCCAAAGATACAGTAAATAATCCTCTATGGGAAACGGTTTACAGGTACTGTCATAAAGTAATTTGCAGTACAATGCACAAAAAGGTTAGTGTTCTAAATAACTTTCTCAGCTTGTGGGCCCTGAAACAGCTCCTCAGTGATCGGGCTTATTTGGTTGATGGATGAGAGGGAGTTTGCTCATGTATTGTTTTCCATACCTTGTAAACAGAAATGTCTACCTTTTAGGGAATGAAGGAGTTTTCTATGTTACTTGGCACCTTTAACACACATGCTGATCACCTTGTGTTTAGAAGCTTCGTGGTTATGAGGATGCTGGGCTGGTCCAAGCTGATGTTTTTGTATGCTCGTCTAAAATGTGTTCCTCTCTAAGATCCCGGAAGGAATGGCTAGTGTATCTCTGACGGGGGTAGCGCTGATGCCTGTCTATTACAGTTGGTCAGGAGGCTGAGACTGTTATCCATGCCTTTGTCACCTCTCTGCTAAGCTTCTACTGTAATGTGCTACTCCTGCAATCTAGGGATGCAGCAAACAGCTGTCTGTTAGCTAACGGGAATGGGACACTTGGGGCGCACAATTCTGGTGCTCAGGTCTCTGTCCTGGCTTTCTGCTCTGCTTGGGTTCCATTTCAGCATGTCAGTGGGAATCTTTCAAACCCAGAATTATCTGGAGTTCATCTGCCTGAGACTATCTTTGACTTTTTGTCCCATCATAGCAGTTGATTATCTAGCATGCTCTTGCTGTGGGTCCCTGGTGTTAAACCTTCCAGGGCCGATGGCAAGACTCATCTGAGGGCGTTCCATGGCATGATACGCTGATTTGTGATGTCATAGTGATGCCTCAAAACATGGCAGTGATTGATTGACAATGACAGAACATAAGGATGTGAAACCAGGATAACTTTACACCTCTCCGTGACTTCATGTAATTGAGTGATTGTGTGAGGTTCTCGCTGATCTGTATTGCTAAAAAGATCCTCAAAGAATTAACAAAACTGTTAGTAGCTGAAAACCCATGCTGTCACACAGGTGTAACTTGTAAAATCATGGTTTTTTTGGTATTTATTAAAAACCAAAAATGGCTGCAAATTTATATTGGATGGGAACAGACCACCAGCCCTGCTGATGACTGAACCTGATGATATTCTAAACAAAGAGTTCTCCACCATGCTTGTAGCTGTTTCATCACATCACACTGACTCAACAGACATTTTAGGCTTCCGAGTGACACTCCTGGAATCCTACTATGTAGATTGCAGTGGTGGTGAAGTCATATTGGCTATTCAGAGGAAACCTTGCATGGAGAAATCTGGCTTTCATTGACTCTTTAAAAAAAGTTGTTCCTAGTCACTAACAGTGCAATGGGAGGTCAGATTGGTCTAGTCCTGTTTGCATATACAAGGTAGATTCTGTGTTTTACGAATTTTCTTTTTAACAATTTGTGGCTCGTGTCCTCCATAGAAAGGGATGTTCCACTTTGCATATGTAGATCAGTTTTATGCTAATAGATTTTCTTTCCTGCAAAGGTCAAATGGGAGAACTTTGTAGTTAAGTTTCCTCTGTTGCTTTTCTGAGATGTTTCCTACCTCTCTGTGCTGGTGCTCTAGCACTGGGCACCTCAGAGGAGCGTAGACCTGTGAAAATACAAATTGCCACTGAGCATGGTGTATTGTGTGTGTTTCGACAGCGTCTGTGCTTATGAAAGAAGACAATGACAACTGATGAGGCCACAAAGAATGAAGGAGAGGTCCAGACAGCAGCTCTTGCTGAACAAGGAGAGGACATCACACCCAATCAAGATCGAGGGGTTCTGAAGGTGAGGTCATCGCCAAAGCTAGTGGCACAGTTCAATAGCTACTCTCCTAGAGCACGTACACACCTGTTAACTGTCTGAATGTTAGTGGCATGGGTTGTCATGCGGCTTCCAGCACAATAAAGCTGAGCTTTTCAAAGCTGTCTAGGGGATTTTGTTGTCCAATTTCCTTTACAAAAATAGGAAGACTTAAATGGCACGGAGACCACAACTGCAGTACAGATATCAGCCTTCACTGTGAATTTCACTGCTAGCGTATGTCTAATCAGATCTTTAGTAGTACATCCATGCAGTATAATATATATGTATTACTCATAGGCTTTTCCCTAGATCTAATTTCTATTACTTAGATCATCTAGTCTGCTGCTCAGCCCCTTTTCCTACTGGAGGCAAATTCAGGATTGTTCCACTGTATATTTTCGATTGTTTCATCCTATCGATTGAATACAACTATTTCCCCAGTGATATCTCCTCTGCGCACGCTCCCCGCTCCTTTTAGCTTAAGAACTGCCTGCTCCAAACAGTAGCATAAAAGAATTTTGACCAAAAGCGAATGGAACGATTTTACCCCTATGGATGTGGCATTACATTGGCAGCAAGTAAATATTATTTTACTGACTAGATTCCTAAATATGATACTTAAACACATCCCTGTATAATTGTAAAGCCTCTACAGCTCTCTCTATTGAGGCATGTAAAAATCTCCATATATGTGATGGAAACAACTAATGCTATTTATTGATTTTTATTTTGGGGGGACAAATTAATAAAAGGCTACTTAAATCATTACCTCTTTAGATTTCTGCCATCGTGAGTTGGAAGACAGGGTTGATCGAGAGATCTGGTTATGGCAGGAGTTAGCTTGAATAGCCATGGCCATTGGGAGGCTGAATCAGCATCCCTAGATCTCCATGGAAACGGCTATAAAAACATGCTCTGGGTTCAAACGTAGCATTTAAAAAAAAAAATCTTCCCTTGAATATACCTGGGAAAGCTCAGCAATTTTACTTAAACACTCCATCAGTGGTACGACTTAAACTGAAAAACAAGACCGTGTTGCTGTGCTACCAACTATGGACCCACTGGCTGGTATGCAACACTCATTGGGCTTGTTCTCTGGGATTGCGACAGCGCAAGGACCTGTGTGGTGGGTGTTTTGTTGCGTTGCTGGAACCACAGCTAGGATGAAGTTGGTGTACGCCAGCACCGCCTTGTTCTTCAAAATATGCTTTGTTATGGGAGTTTGGAGTTGTTGGAGAGAGGAGCTATGCTAGCAATACTTAGCTGCACGGTTGTGTCTAGAACCTAGACATTTGCCTAGAGTAGAAGAACTGTGGGACTCAGTCAACTGAAGCTGCCTGTTTGTTGAAATGGACTCCTACCATCTTTATCCTAGTTGTCCTTCTCTCTCTTAGATTGTGAAGAGGCCAGGTCATGAGGACAAGTCCCCTATGATTGGAGACAAGGTTTACGTCCACTATAAAGGAAAGCTGGCCAATGGAAAAAAATTTGATTCCAGCCGTGATAGGAACGAGCCATTTATTTTCAGTTTGGGAAAAGGTAAGGAGTGAAATGGAAATGCAGTCTCAGGGCTCCAAAGTGCATTTTCTCTGGATATCTGTTGTTAGAGAGAGCACATGATTAAGCGGAACGAACACAAGACTGGGAATAAGGAAATTTTAGGTTGTAATCTTGGTTCTGTCGCTGACTAAATGTGGCTGTGGGTGATTCAGTCACTTTGTGTGTCTGCTCAGGACCCCTGGGGTGTTGAGATCACATTTTATTAAGCCCAAATTTTCAAATGTTTCCTCATGTTGGGTGCCTTTGGAAATCTGACTGTAGGTGTCTAATATTCAGCAATTTACATTAAGTCAGTGGTTGATGTTTGCACTCAGCACCCCTGAGAATCTGTCTGGAGGGGCTCAAAATCGGATCACAATGGAAATAGATATTTCCTTTCCCTCTAATTTTGTACGCTGCTTTACCCGTTCCTGCTGTCCACATAGTTATAGCCGCTTGCAAAATGGGTTTTTTAAGTGTGCTTCACGTTGAGTGTGACAGGATTTGAATTGCATACCTGCCTATTTGTATCTTTTGCAGCCAGTGGTAACCTTTATATCCCGCAGCTTGAATAATGATTGAAGAACTCTCATGAAGTTTTAAAGTTCCTGTTGTCAGGCAGATGTCACTAGTAACATAAACGTGGGGAGAGTGGGGCTATAGTGAATTAAAAATATAAAGGAGTGATTTCTAATTAGAATGCTTGCTTTTCAAAGCAGATCTTCCAGGCAATTTGGTTTTGGCCTTCCCGGCCTGACCACTTCATGAGCAATAAATGGAGTTACGCTTAGATAAATGAAATTCTACCTTCTGTTTGCTACGTGGCAGGTTGAGAACAAAAAGGAATTGTTTTGGAGCACATGGGTTTTAATTATTTTATTTTTTTAAATTAAGGACCACGATTTACTAAGGGCCTCTATTTACTAAGATTGCATCCCCCTTTATGGCCCTTAAGCTTACAGAATGGAAACATTTGCTCCTGTAATGGCTTACAGCTCCAAAATCCTTCTTTAGAAAGTGGACTGGAGAACATGGACCAGACTCATGGATTGTGAAGTTTATGTAACTCTGTCTATAGAATTTGGGATATTAGGCCAAAAGAACAGCTCAGTGCAGTAGTCCTTCCCTCCTAGAACTCTGCTGTAGGGCCTTTCATGCAAGCTTGTGGGGAACTCGTGTGGAGCTGCCCTCTGCTCCCAGGGGGTGTCAGCACACCCCTTTGTAGCCACTCTGCGCATATTCCCTTCACAACCCCACTCTAGCACCTAAATAACACAGAGTGCTATGCAGCCTCTCCGTGTTGGGGTGAAGTTCTCCACTAATGTGGAGGGGACTGCAGCAAATTTCCATGAGCTACTTTTCTGACGTACGCTTCAGAGTGTCCCTAGATGATAATGACAGGTGGATCTGATGGATTCCTTGTAGTAGTTGAGTTGTGTAGCTGTTGTGACTCTTATTGTATTGGTTTCATGACCACAAGTAAAGACCGTAAATGCACAGATACAGCAGAGCATTTGAAAAAAGAAAACGGACTGTGTCTAAAACTTGTTTTTGGCAATTTCATGTTCTAAATCATTCCCTCGTATTAAAGCATGTCCTTCTCTTAGGCCAGGTAATCAAGGCATGGGACATTGGGGTTGCCACCATGAAGAAAGGGGAGATCTGCCACTTGCTGTGTAAACCAGAATATGCATATGGCTCTGCCGGCAGCGTCCCAAAAATCCCTTCCAATGCAACCCTCTTTTTCGAGGCAAGTATGTGTAAGAGTGTTGGTATGGAAACTCCCTCCCTTGGGGCATGCTGTTAAAAACCAGTTCAACAAAGCAGTTGGCTTCTTGAATTGTTTTTCCCCCCATCTTTGGCAACTCATGCCCATGCTTTCTCAGAAATGTCTAAACTGGAGAAGCAGTGCCCAAACAGGATCTGAAAAGAAGTCTTAACTTGGAAGCATATGGAAAACACTGACACAAATAGGACACAGACTCTGTTAAGTGTGTGTGTGTACACATCTATAAAATAGGGGGAGGGCATGTCAAAAATGTTTTCACGTCATAAAAATCCATTAATGCCAGTGAGCTAAACCAAAATGAGAGTTGGCATGGAGCAGCTGTTGGTCAGCCAAACTGAGCACAGTGTGTATGTGTTCATTTGGCAAAACCTTGCAAAAACCTTGCAAAACCCAACAGAAGTAAAGCATCTTTAGTTAATTAAGGCACAGATTGTCCCAGCTCTGGCTGCAATTGATTGCCTTGGAGAGCCATTGGCTTCAGTGTGCCTGTTTTCATTGTCAACAGGCTTAATGGCCTCTTTCTTAGTGGTGCTATGTCTGGTCAACAGAGACGGAGAAGGGCAACAGAAATGATTAGGGGAATGGAACAGCTTCCATATGAGGAGAGATTAAAAAGACTGGAACTGTTTTGCTTAGAAAAGAGATGACTAAGAGGGGGAGATATGATAGAGGCCCATAAACTCATGAATGGTGTCAAGAAAGTGAATAGGGAAGTATTATTTAGCCCTGTACAGAATGCAAGAGCCAGTGGTCACCCAATTAAATTAATAGGCAGCAGGTTTAAAACAAACATAAGGAAGTGTTTCTTCACACAATGCATAGTCAGCCTGTGGAACTCTTTGCCAGGGGATGTTGTGAAGGCCAGAAATATAATCCAGCATCACTGTTTGAATTACACCCTTACAGGATTAGTAAACTCTAGTTTTATTCTTTCTTTGTGCTACTTTTCAGGTATTACGCACGTTACAGTTTTTAATAAATCGGACCTGTTACCTAGTTTAGAGCTGGCTTCTTCCATTTGTCAGCTGAATTGGATTGATTGGTTTTCCACATCTAGGATCAACTGTTGCTTAGGCTACCTTTTATTTATTTATTTTTTTAGATCGAGCTTCTTGATTTCAAAGGGGAGGATTTATTTGAGGATGGAGGAATCGTCCGGAGAATCAAACGGAAAGGGGAAGGATACTCCAACCCAAACGAAGGAGCCACCGTAGAAAGTGAGTACCGGCTTGGCTGCAGGAGTAACTAAATGCACTTTAACAGCCGAGTGCAAATATGTTGGTGAGATGAAGCCTGTGTAATAGCATTCCAGAGGATTTGCAGCACTGTAGCCATCTCTGACGACGAAGCAGGTTGACAGAGTTGTTTCTGAGGAGTGCTGGGAGGGTCATCCATCATCGGGTTGCCAGTCTGTATTTTGTTCTGTCTCTGTGTGACCAGGTCAGACCCTGCAGCTGTGCCAGAATGGGGTTCCTAAAGCACATGTTCTAGCTCAAAGACCGGAGTGTGCCGTGTGTCCAATCGCACACAAGGTATACATGTAGAGGACACTGGCCATGGTTTGTGGGGTTTTATGTGAAGACGGGGGGCAGGAGGAAGTAGAAGAGAGAGACAGTTAACTCTCAGCCTGTGAGTGTCAGCATTTAATATGTTAACACAATTCTTCCTTCCTTGGCCAATCCAGAGCCCCTGGCTCATAAGGGTTTAATGGAAAGCATTAAACCTAGGCAGCAGGTAGGTGATGATGAAATGGCCCTGAGGTGTAACTCAGGCTCTTCTCTCTGAGTCACCCTGGTCCTGCATTCTGTCAAAGGCCCCCCTCGGGCTTTGATAAACAAACCCGATACTAAATTGTGCAACCAGTTCTCCTTAGCTTGATGTGGAAACTTGGAAGAAAATTAGCGTGTACGGTATGAGAGTTCTGTCTCCTGTGTTGTCTTCCTTTATTCATTAATTTTTTTGAAGATTTTCCATTCTTGTGTTGCCGTCTGAAAGACACTGTAATGCAGGAGGGGACAGTGTGTAGGCTGCTTTGTATATCCAAACTCTGGATTTTCTTGTGTATATGTGATTAAAAATCTCAGACTCAATTTAGCTACTACTGTAGCTTTTACTTGAGTCCGATATTTATTGATTGTTGCATGCATGCATGTCTTGGCCTAAACTAGGCAGTTTCCTATGTTCATAGTCCTATACAATGTTTGGGTTGCATCCATAATACAATTAAGTCTTTTCTTTCCCTTTCCCTGTGGCCAGAATACTACTGCTAACTTTGGATGGCTCTAACTGGAGGGCATAGATTAATGAGAAGGATCTACTGAAGTCAGTACTACTCTATGGGCTTAACTGAAGTCCTAATTTGGCCCCAAAGTAGTGAGCTGAAATCCCATTCAGATTTCTTATAGCACTCTTTCCATCAATATGATGGAGTAATTATAGCTTCTCTTCTAAAGCAACTATTTGATGTGGGGTGGGAGGTTAAAGGAAGCCAAGTTTTAAAGAGAACAATTGAACCATAGAATGAGAGTTAAACAGCAGTTATGGAAGTCTTGGCCATTTGAATGGCTAAATTGTACATTTAGGATTAGCTGGTCACCCTTCTCCCTATATCAGAGCTTCTGTACAGTATGAGTTTATGAACCTTTTTGGGAGGGGAGAAATTGATCCAAATTGTCACATTCACCTTGTTAAGCCTGTTAATTTCAATGTCTAGTCCTTTAGCGGGACTGATTTTAGAGAGAACTCCTTTGGACTCTGTTAATTTCACTCTGCCTATGAAATGTTTTGGGTCGTGGTTATGTGCACTGAGACAAGCTTTGTGTAAAGTTTCAAGCTTGCTTTATTGTACCTAAGGGCCAAGTAAAATAAATCAAAGTAGATACCAGTTTAATAGTTCTAAGGGCTGCATTCCTTTTTATTACTTATTTTTTGGTTTCATTTAAACATCAAAACCCATTATGCTTTTGGGTGCTCAGGAAGTTTGTAACCAGACACACAATTATCTTTATTATGCCACGAAGTAACAAATAGAACAAAGCACTGTTCTCATTTAGAGCACAATTTTTGTTTTTAATCACTATGTAGTGGTTTGATTTGTCAGAAAGAGGAAAAAATATCAATGTAATCAGCAATTTGGCTCTTCCTTAAGCATAGATTCTAGGGCCAGAAGGGACCATAGTGATGACTTAGTCTGACGTCCTGCATAGCACAGACCATAGGACTTCCCAAAATAATCCCTAGAGCAGATCCTTTAGAAATATATACAATCTTGATTTAAAACATCCTGATATAGCAGTACTTTAAAGACTCCCTCAGAGTGGTGGTTAGTAGTGGGGCTTTCTCATGGCACATGATTCTAAATCCTTCTTTAATTTTTTTTTTTAACTACACCTCTACCGCGATATAACGCGACCCGATATAACACAAATTCAGATATAACGCGATAAAGCAGCGCTCCGGGGGGGGGGGTGGGGGGGGCTGTGCGCTCCGGTGGATCAAAGCAAGTTCAATATAACGTGGTTTCACCTATAACATGGTAAGATTTTTTTGGCTCCCGAGGACAGCGTTATATCGGAGTAGAGGTGTATTTAAAAGGTACATTTTCTTCTTAGCTTATTGCATTAATTCAGACATGGGCATAGTCAGGATAGTGGAGATTAATGTCCTCTGAGGCAGTTTTGCATAACACATGCAGCCTGTGCAAGGCAGAGGTCAAGAACCGTTTACTAATCCTATTCCCCAAAGTTGTGCTGTACCAGCAGTTTGGTTCAGAGCAAGTCACCAATGTGGCCTTCAGTTTCATTCTGATCTAACTAGCTGCCCAGGGCCTGGGTCTCCTTAAATGTGCTTCAAGGGTAGGAAGCAACAGAGGGTCCGGTGGCACCTTTAAGACAGGACCCTCTGTTGCTTTTTACAGATTCAGACTAACACGGCTACCCCTCTGATACTTCAAGGGTAGGGGCACATTTCAGACCTGGAAGCCTCTTAAAAACAATATTTTGGTTGCTACCATGCTCTCTCTCTCTCTCTCTCTGTGTCTCTGAGTGCCCCGCTCTAGACTCCATGTCTGGCACAAGGCAGTAGGATCAGACACAGGTAGTGGGATTAGGATGGCACAAAACCAGAAGAATAGCAATGATCTGTCATAATAATCTATTTTCAACCAGACAGCCGCCACATTTTCATTGTTCAAATATTTCCATTGAGTTCTAGTAAAAACCCCAGTATTAACTCAGAAACTAGTACAAAGGTACCTGACATCACTGCTATAATTAAACTGGAAGAAAATGTGCATTTAGCAGAACTGACATCTCTGGGTTGGATTTTCAAAGGCAATGTTATTAGCTTGAGTTATAGGGCATAATTCACAGTCCCACTTCCTAAAACACAGCCTGCAGTAGAATTTTTGCATTCCAGCTTTTGTTACAGCCTTTTTTCTGTTTTAATAGGAGTACAAATTGCAGTCAGCACATCGGGTTCATGTGCCAGCCACATTCAGAACACAGCGTTCTGTGCTCTTCAAAACAAAATCGCTCTAGGCACTGAGAGAACAATAAGTCAACGCTGCAGCTGAAGTGATGTTCTGCAGCCGGGCTGGGGTTTCTTGCTGTGTAATCCGAGTATAACTGTGTCCAAACGATCTGCTTTAGATAGCTCTTAAATACACTTGAAAAACGGAGCAGGAGACTTTCCTGCTGCCATTATATTTCCATATAATTAAAATGGAATAAAAACTACTGTGCTTTTAAAAAAAAAAAAAAAAAAGCACACTTGAATTCATAGCAAGTCCGTGAAAGGCCAGCTGGAAGCTTCATGCCATCCTGTGCGTCCTAGTCTTAAAGCTCGCACCTTAGATCATTGTCTTCTCATGCTGGCAGAGGCTGGCAACCGATTAACTCTGACTGCCATACTGCCAAAACCAGGGATCTTACATCAGACTCTCAGAATTATTCTGGTAAAGGCAAGGATTTGGGTAATTGGGAGCACTTGTTTCAATGAGCCCTCTTTTCCCTCTTAAGGCAGCATGGAACTGGAGCAGCAAGGAGCTCCCTCTCCGGCTCAGTCTTTTGGCTTATTCCCGACAGTGATTCCTGCCGGTTTCAATGATTATAATAACCTGGATAGCCCCATTATTGTGATTGGTGTTTACAGGCAATAGCACGCCAGATCTCTGCACCAAAGCAAAGGAGAAGGGAGGGTTTACATGATACTGTAAGGTTATCGGGTTACTTGTTTTCAAAATGTACGCTGAGAATTGGTGTGGGAGTGTGTGAGGTGCACTGTTTTTTGTTAAAGCAGAAAACCAAGGTGACTTGGCAGTAGTGGAAGAGTGTAGGTCAGGAGTCACCATGCTTTTGGCTAGGGCTGGCTGGGATAACAAGGATTTCTTTTCACGAAAAATGGAGGTTTCAAAATCTGTTTGTGTTCCCCACAGACCTTTTGAACCCTTTTGTGGAAAAAAAAGGCGGGAGAAGGGAGGGGGGACGATTTGGAGCCGGGGCTTGAACCTGGGTTTCCCACATCCAAGGAGAGTGCTCTAACCACTGGGCAATTGGCTATTCTGAGGTGCGGTGTTCCCGTCTGTCTCTTGCGCTCTCGTTTTCGGACCCGAGAAACCTTCCCAACTAAAGTTTCATTAAACTGATAACATTTGCACAAAAACAAGGAGTCCAGTGGCACCTTAAAGACTAACAGATTTATTTGGGCATAAGCTTTCGTGGGTAAAAAACACTAAGAGTTTGCACAAAGAGTTTCAGTTTCAAGGAATTGGTATTTTCCTACAGAAACATTTAATCAAAAACTTCCTGACCAGCTCTCCTCTCTGCAATTGGTGCCCTTTCATATCATTCATATAGGGGCCCTCATGCAGCAGTGCGATAAGCCAAAAATCAGTGGATTTCCTGTAGCTCTGGCTTGTGGGGTAGGGAACTGTGACGTTTAGGGGATCACTCAGACCAGTGAGGAGTTCTGTCACTGCCTGTCCGGTAACTGGGTGCCTTTATGCTGTGCAGCGTTGGTTCAGGTCCCTCACATTGGTAGCCTTCCCACAAGCAAAAGGTCTCCGCCTAGCTTCTACCAGCCTAGTTACTCTTTGCAGGGTGATACCTGCAGCCCATCCAGTCCCGAGTCTCCCTAGATCCGTCCTTCCAGAGTTCTTAAGTACCGGACACTTGGACTTTTCCTCTCTCCTTCGTCACCCCTTCCCCCAAATCAGCCA